GAGCCGGGGCGGGCTCCTTTCGGGTTGAAAGACGGTATTAGGGTGCAACGCTCCAGCAGGAGAGGCTGCGACTGCCTGGGGGAGCATCCCGGAGCGCACGTCACAGCAGGGATGGATCCGTGTGAGCCCCAGCACTGACAACCTCTGCAGTCTGAGGAACTAGAAGGAAGCACTAGCTTCTTGGAAAAACTGAGAATAATTTAGCAGAAATCAAGTGAGTGCGCTTTTCACCATTTTGCAAAATACCAGAGGGCAAAGGCTTCATTTCTCCTTCTGCATGGTTTGAGATTTCATCTTATTCCGACAAGACATGACAGAAGAAAACAAAGAAAAAACCTCAAGTGACAAGAAAGTACATTTAATTGACTAAGGGCAATGTAGACCCCGAGGAGCAGGTAGCTGGGAGCATCACCGGAGGACAGACCCACCTCATTGTAGTAAGGGCAATTGGTCGATTCCTTCATGGATGTGTATTTCTTCTCCTCTCCAACCTCCACGCAGACCACGGGGTCCATGTTGAGCCCAACCAGCTGCCGGGCCTCGATGATGGTGATGCTGACCTGGGGAGAGGGATGCGTGCACCTTCACCTCCTGAGAGCAGCACCAGATGCCGCTCGCTGCCTTAACCCCTGTCTCCCCATCCTGTTTTCTGAGGCATTTTCACTGCAATGGTGGCAGCTCTGGGGTCTACTGGTCGCACCAAAGACACCGAGCTGCTCGGACAAGCCTGAGCAAGCTGCAACGTGGTGTGGGATGCAGGAGAACCCCGGGCATCCCTGTTCCTTCAGCCCCAGAGCATGGGCGGCTTCACGCGAGGTGTAAAGTCGAATGGATTTAGCTAAGCTGTGGGAGTGGAGCTCGGCTGGTGAGACCCCAGCTGGCTTCGCTTGCTTCTGCTAGAAAACACAAAGGGATGATCATCGTAGGTCCCTTCCAACTGAAATACTCTATTCTGTTCTATATTATTTCTGGAATATTCTCCACCATTTCATGGTTCAACCCTCCTATGTGCATGCATACGCACATGCCATTTTATTTAAATTAAGTACTCTTGTATGTGGTATGTGAAAAATGAACTACTTTCAACAGAATCTCAGCAAATCATCCAGATGAAACATTTGCATGTATTTACGACACAGAAATTTGTCATTCACAATTCAATCCACCTTGTGACATTAAATTAATATTAGGTATTTAGATCGTACCTAAATTCCTTCCTTGCAATATTAAATTCATATTAGGAATTCCTGCTTAGATTTCTTAATTTAAATAAAAAATATAAGGTGTACTTGCATGTAGGTAACAACTCTTTTCAATTTCCAGCAGCCATTTTTCTAGAGTCATGTCTTTAAAATCTATCACAAGTTGGTGGCAGGACAGGTAAACTCCAGGTTTCAAAGCACAGTGAATTTGGGTATCCTTTAAAATTATTTTTTTTAAATAACATGAACTCTCAGTTCTGGTTACCTTGAAGCCCAACAGATGAGTTAACTTACATGTGCCTTCTCTAGCTGTCATTAATTATTTTTGTAACTTGAACTCAGCTTTATCCTAAATCATATAATAATGGAAAATAGGACTCTCTTAAAAATTAAACTATTATCTTTATGGGTAAACTTGGGGAAATTTCATTTTGGTAACATATTAAGAGGCTTGACTTTCAATCAGATTTCTTTAAAAGAGGCTCAGACTCCAGCCCCAAAAGAAAAACAGATTAAAAAAACCCACCAGCAGTTGCTGGGATGCCGTGATAATTTAAGCTGAAATATTCTATTCTATTCTATTCTATTCTATTCTATTCTATTCTATTCTATTCAAGTGCTCCTAAAAGGCAGCTGACAAGGGGTAGCTGAGCCCTCTGAGGAAGAGGGCAAGGCTGCCTGGCATTTGTCACTGCACAAACTGACCTAGCACAGGGGAGCTGAGGTGCGAACGCAACCTCCGATCCCACACCCAGCGCTGCAGCGGCTCAGGGAACCCGGCTCGGGTTCACGCCTCACGTACAGCGTGGCAAGGTGCCTGGAAACATCCCAAACGCCTTCTGGGGAGGCTTGCAGCCAGGGTCGTCTCTGCACCGAGACCTTCCCTCCGCCACTGCTCCTGGAGATGACTTTGCTGGGCACCATCCTTCATTAACGCTTTGTCCCTCCCTCCCATCCCCTCTGCTGCCACAGACCGAGGCAGTGTCTTGAGGTTTCCCGGGGATGGAGCCTGGAAGATCAAGTCCTTTCCTCTTAATTCTCAGATGTTCCACAGAAGCCAGTTGTCAAAGGAAAGCAGACACACGGAGGTCAGCCAGGCACGTACCTTGTTCATGAACCAGCCTAGCGCTGCAAATCCTGCTATACTCCAGCCATTCCCCATTAACACCAACCTTGTGATCCTCCTGCTTGCAGTGGCCAGAAAACTGGACTTTGTGTTCCTTCTGCCTCTTGGTTCTAATTTGTTTTGCACCTTCCCCCTCCTCTTTATGTTCTCTATGTTCCCCGCTCCTGAACCAAGCACGGTCATTCCCTGTAAGCCTCACAATTTGGTCTGCAGCGGATGCTGCAAATGTTCTGCAATAGATCTCTAACAAAAACCATTGTTTGCATTGTTCCGAGATATCACCAGGAACGCGTTGCTGTGCTGAGAGGAGAGGACACAAAGCTAAATCGCTGCTGAATCAGCACGACTTGGCGAAAATGAGAAGAGGAGCCAATTTATGAATCACGCTGGCACCAACTAGTAAAAGAAAAGTGAGCAGCATGGATCGTCTGAGACTCAGGAAACTAAACGTGTGGCTCTTCTAACTCTAGCTAAAGTGGCAGGAACGGAGCACCGCTGAACAGGACAACAGCAGCCAGGTACCAGCCTATCGGAGGAAATCCAGTCAGCAGCGTACTGCCAGCCAGGGCTCACCAATCTTGAATACTAAACAGCACACTGAAAGCTCTTAGAACCATAGAATGATAGAAGCATTAAGGTTGGAAGAGACCTCCAAGATCATCGAGTCCAACCGTCGACCCAACACCCCCAGGCCCACTAAACCATGTCCCTAAGCGCCTCATCTACCCGTCTTTTAAATACTTCCAGGGATGGGGACTCAACCACTTCCCTGGGCAGCCTGGTCCAAGGTTTAACCACTCTTTCAGTAAAGACATTTTTCCTCACATCCAATCTAAACCTCCCCTGGCGCAACTTGAGGCCGTTTCCTCTCGTCCTATCGCCAGTTACTTGGGAGAAGAGACCGACCCCCACCTCGCTACAGCCTCCTTTCAGGTGGTTGTAGAGAGCGATGAGGTCTCCCCTCAGCCTCCTTTTCTCCAGGCTAAACAACCCCAGCTCCCTCAGCCGCTCCTCATCAGACTTGTTCTCCAGACCCCTCACCAGCCTCGTTGCCCTTCTCTGGACACGCTCCAGCACCTCGACGTCCTTCTTGTAGTGAGGGGCCCAAAACTGAACACAGCATTCGAGGTGCGGCCTCACCAGGGCTGAGTACAGGGGCACGATCACTTCCCTGCTCCTGCTGGCCACACTAGTTCTGATACAGGCCAGGATGCCATTGGCCTTCTTGGCCGCCTGGGCACACTGCCGGCTCATGTTCAGCCGGCTGCTGACCAGCACCCCCAGGTCCTTTTCCAACAGGCAAAGGACTCTTGGGAGTAAGAGAAATGTATTGGAGATAGCCTGTTTCAATCACAGGTTAATTTGGGCTTTCTAGGCTTCATATGACAGAGAGCAAAACCAGTTAATTATTTAATCTCGAGCTTATCGCTCGACGACTTAAATGCCAGCTCTTGGGAAGTCGTGCTTTGTGAGTGCAGTGTGTTGAAACCCAGCACGAACTTGTTCCCTGCAAAACGGTCCCCCCCCACCCCCTGGGTTGTGACCCCCATGAGCTGAGGTTGGGGGCACAACGTTGTCACCTACCTGGTAGTCCATTGGCCTCCCAGCACTCGGCTCCATTTTGATGTCAGGCTTGGACCTTTGGAGGGGCAGAAGAAACCCTCAGTCAAACCACAGATGGACTTGCTGCAAGCTGTGACAGAGCATTTGCAGGGTCACCCCTCGAAGCTCCTGCCCTCTTTGAATCTGAGGAATATAAACCCTGGGGGCTGTGAAACACCACCGAACATCGGTGCTCTTTGTAGCAGGTCAGGTGTTTCCAAAAAAACCACCGGCTGCATGGGGCAACGTATATTTCCAACATACCCCGTCTCAGGGGACACGCGGTTGTGGGGTGTCTGCCAGCGTGCCCTCGCCTCCTGGCTTGCAGAAGCTCACATCTGGCCCTCACCTCTTATTCGAAACGTTGGTGGTGACAGCTGTGACGGAGGCCAAGGAGATGGTGTCTGGCTCCAGTCCACATCCCTGTCTCATGGCTTTTCGGTCCAGGTCTTCTGCCTCCAAAACAGCGGGTTCATCTGCACAAAGGAGACAAAAGAATGTCTCTTATTGTTTCCACTCGGTGAATAATTAAAGGCGAAGAGAAAGGTAACCAATACGTCCTGTCAACCTCGCCTGATAATACAAAGAACAATGGTCACCAGGTGAGGTCACAGACAACCTGATCTAAAAAGGGATTAAAAAAGACGTATTGCCTCCTGTGACACATTATTCCACCTGGGCAGCATGCCTATATATGGTTCTGTGAAGGCAAAAAGAAAACAGAAAACGACAAACACCCCAGACTTCAAGGGGTGAAAGAGCATTTGAGCAAGGGTTGCAAGAGCATTTGAGCAAGGGTTGCAGCTCTACCTACCAGAAGAGCAGTTGCAAAGACAAGCAGCTGCCTAGCTTTGGGGTAGAGAGGTCTGAAAAAACAGGAGAAATGGGTCATTTCCCAAGAAGAAAAATTGCTGCAGGGAGGGTCAAGACCCCAGATCCCACAGGCACTGAGACACAGCTGCCCTGTCCACCGGTTTGCGTTTCTATTGGAAGAAGTTGCTGAGATAGTCCTTTCCCGTGCACGATCCGTGTGCACGTCGTGCCTGCCCCTCCTGCCTTTGCTCTGGTCAAGAAATGACCACAAAGCAGCAAGGATTTTTTTTTCTGTGGGGCCAAAACCACCAGTATAGCTGTTGGGTCACTGGTTTGCTTTGGTGGCACAGCTGTACGAATCCACTCGTACAGCACAGACGCTGCTCCTGGGAAACAGGTTCCCCGTCACTTTGCTAACCTAGGCAAGCTTGTAGCTTGCTCCAGGAGATCGGCATGCTCCGGGAGACCAGAAATCATTTTTTTCACCGTAGTCTGGCCTGTTTTTGTGAGATAACATGGGCTTCAGCTGAAGCGAGGGAGATCTAGGCTGGGTGTTAGGAAAAGCTCTCCGTGAGGGTGGAGAGAGACATGCTGCTGCAGGTTGGGTGGGGACAGGGTGTCCTCAACTCAACTGGGAGTTTTTGAGATTGAGCCAGAGCCACACCAGCCGGGAAGGACCTAAGCAGGTTCGATCCTGCCACGTGCGGGTGGGTGGAGAGACTCACACCCTCCCAGCTTGGTTTTCGGTGATTTGGTGGGTCTGTTTGACCTGAGCAGGACCAGCAGTGCCCAGTGTTTCTGGGCAAATCTCCACTGTTTTTCAGCCAGGTTTGAGGGTAGGAAAAGGGGAATTTGGCCTGGGACATCAGTGTAGGTAGAGGCATTGGCAGCCTGTGGGAAGGCATGACATTGAAACCTGGGTGGCCTCCCTCCCTCCCCAGTGCCTGGGCATTCATCTCGTGGTTAAAGCTCCACGCAAGACCATGGGGAAAGCAGCTGGGATGCAAAGGCAAGAGCAGGGTGGATGCAACATCCACCCCATCCCATCACCGGCTGGCCAGACCAAGGGTAGGAATCACAACCGAGACAGCACTGAGGCTGAGAGAGGAGGGTGGTGTTAAGAGAGCAGAGCCCTGGTGAGGTGTGTGAAAGCCAGCGGTACCTGGGGAAGGTGGAAGAAGGAGCCCCACGGCTGTGCAGCACTGACCAAAACAAGCAACCGTGTTGCAAACCGTCCCCGGCCAACGGGTAAATCCCCATCGGGAAGGCACTTTTACTATCTGCTAGCACACCCTGCTCTTGCCTTTGCATCCCAGCTGCTTTCCCCATGGTCTTGCGTGGAGCTTTAACCACGAGATGAATGCCCAGGCACTGGGGAGGGAGGGAGGCCACCCAGGTTTCAATGTCATGCCTTCCCACAGGCTGCCAATGCCTCTACCTACACTGATGTCCCAGGCCAAATTCCCCTTTTCCTACCCTCAAACCTGGCTGAAAAACAGTGGAGATTTGCCCAGAAACACTATCTAAAGCAATGCTTTGTCCTTGCCTGCAAACATGCATTCCCCCACTTCTTTGCTGTTGAAACGCTATCCTCCGGTCTGAATGGAAACAGCAATGGCTTTCCGATCGCTGACCCTCTTGTGCGTTTCCAGAAAGGCGTCTGATTTCAGCGCTGCTGTTGTGCAGAGCAGGGGGACAGGCAGCCCCGCAGCAGCTGAGCCCTTCCTCTTGCTGCGCGGCTGCTGCTGCACCGCGCGCCCAGCAAGATGCAAGGGCTAAATCCTGCTTTGCATTGTCACATTTGCAAATCATCCCTAAAAATAAGCTGGAAGCTGCCTGCACGACTCCCAGGTTTTGCCACGGTCGCACAAGGTGGGTGATACCTGGCTAAGCCTTCAGCGGGAGCCTCTCTCCATCAGTTCCTACTTCCCATTTCCCCATGGAGCCCCTCTCTCCAGCTCTCCTCCCCAGCACCCAGTGCTCCCCGTCTAATCCCTGAGTTACTGACTGGCTGTGCCTGACGTGAGCCACTTTGGGGACAGACTTTTTAGCAGGGCCTGTTGCGACAGGACAAGGGTTAATGGCTTTAAACTAAAAGAGGGGAGATTCAGACTAGATAGAAGGAAGAAATTGTTTACGCTGAGGGTGGTGAGACACTGGCCCAGGTTGCCCAGAGAGGTGGTGGATGCCCCATCCCTGGAAACATTCCAGGTCAGGTTGGACGGGGCTCTGAGCAACCTGCTCTAGTTGAAGATGTCCCTGCCCACGGCAGGGGGGTTGGACTAGATGGACGTTAGAGGTCCCTTCCAACCCAAACCGTTCTGTCGTTCTATGGGGTCTCTCAGGTGCTTTCCTGGGATGTGGAGGATAGCCAAAAAGCAGCACTGGAGCAGGGAACAACCTCCTCCTAGGAACAACATACCTTGTTTCCGATGGTCATCCTTTGACGGACGTGTCTTGCCAAGCTTCATGGCTGAAAAAACTCCTTTCCCAGCTCTGGAAGAAGAGAGGGAGAAAAAAACCCCAACCATCAATTACTGTATTTTTAGTGCTGTTTTCTGGGACTTGGGGGTGGGAACAGGAGCCTTTCAGAGCTCAAAAGCAAGAGAGGAAATATCAGCCGAAAGACTAAGCAGGGGCTGCTGCAAACATGCCTCAGGGCAGAGTCAAGATCGCAGCTAAATGCACTGCCTTTGAGCCTTGGGTCTCGTTTTTTTTTCCTCAGGGAATGCCTCGACTTGGGATAAAACGCGAGGCTGGAGTACAGCATTAGCAGCCAACGAACTCTTCCCCCCCACTCGTGCCTCTTGTCTCTGCTGCTGGCCCCCGCTACGCACAGACTTCTCACCTCTCCTGCCCCGTTTGTGCAATTGCTCCCCAGTTACCTAAAACCATTAACTAAAAATTAAAACGTCCAACGACTTCCCCCACCGCCTTGCTGTGAAAAATCAATAACCTCTTTGGCTAGATCAGCAGCAAACCCATGCAGATCCTAAGGTTTTTCAGCATCCCATTGCAGCAACATGATTTTTTTCCCTTTCCAGTGTGGTAAACACCCGTACCAGGTCAGTCCTAGCTCCCCCTCTGCAATCCCGGCTGGGGTCAAATTCACTCAGGGCAGTTTGGGCCGGATTGGCTGATAAAATAATGGTTTGCAAATGGCTTGCCAGTTGCTTTCTAAAAATATCCATTATTTCAAGGCAAGTTTAAGACGTATAACTCCTAGCTCCAAATGCTTCAGTGGGGCTAGGGCCGTTACTCCAGCTGGGAAATCAGCCTGTGCAACCACAAGTGCTTTGGCGGTCTGGGCTCCTGTGTTACCTGGTGTTTGTTACATACACATACAGCAAACGTATACAAATACAGCATTCAGGATTTCTGCACTGCAAACTGGATTGCTCACAAATGCAAACGGGCAGAGATTGTTAAAGACCGTAAGAGCCGTGCAGGTATTGCAGACCTCATCGCTCTCTGCAACCACCTGAAAGGAGGTTGTAGCGAGGTGGGGGTCGGTCTCTTCTCCCAAGGAACAAGCGATAGGACGAGAGGAAACGGCCTCAAGTTGCGCCAGGGGAGGTTTAGATTGGACGTGAGGAAAAATGTCTTTACTGAAAGAGTGGTTAAACCTTGGACCAGGCTGCCCAGGGAAGTGGTGGAGTCACCATCCCTGGAGGTATTTAAAAGACGTGTAGATGCGGCGCTTAGGGACATGGTTTAGTGGGCATGGTGGTGTTGGGTCGATGGTTGGACTCGATGATCTCGGAGGTCTCTTCCAACCTTAATGATTCTATGATTCTATTTTCAGGAAACTGTTCCCTGTTATTTGGAGGTAAGTCCATGCTGCTGTTGCAAAGAGGTGGGAGGTTCTGAGTCACCCCGGTGAAAGTTACGGAGTCTGGATGTAATGTGGATTTTTAGCCTGAAGATTCAGCTGAAAACCTCAGTAGGAAAAAACCTCCGTAGGATCTGCAAAACTGAAACCAGCAAGAAGCACAAGTCAGAGCAATAACCCTGTTCTAAAGGGCAAACAGCTGGAGGGAGACTGGAAGGCAATGGCCTGCGACTGCCCCAAAAGCAGAAGGTGGTAAAGCCGAAGGGGATTTTTCTTTTTTTATTGGAAAATTCCCATCACCTGGAAGTGTTGCGCTTTGCAGAAGCCGTGCAGGTTTGACGGACATGTTCTTGGGCCAGCTTGGAAGCAAGGGGGAACCTCAACTCCAGCCTGGACCTCACCTTCAAGCTGGCTGCCAGGGCAGGGGAGCCAGGGCTCAGCACCAGCCCTGGATGCAGCAGGACTGGGACGCGCTGCCCGTCAGCCAGGTGACAGCAGCGAAGCTGCAGGATCCCCCCCAGTCTCTGCTTTGATCGCATCTGGCTGGGGCCAAAGGATGAAGTTGCACCCTTTTTTTGCAAAACGAAGAAGTCCTGGCATTGCAGCCGGCCCGATGCATTTGTTGTCTTAAATAACAACTGGAAGTTTGCAGGCTGCTGGTGGAGCCCGAGCAAATGAGAAGAAAATTAAGGAGAAGAGGAGGATAATGTATTCACCGAGGGAGGGGCGAATTCAATCGGGGCAGAAGGCCAGCATAAGATACAGGAACTATTTATAGCTGAGGTTTAATTGGGACTAAAGCACTGCTTGGGCCTCAAGGCAGTCTCTGGTAGCTGTGATTAATTCATGGGATCCTCAGTGAAAGGATGATTTCTTAATGGTCAGGAGGAGAAAAGATGAGGGGTAGGTTTCCATATCTATAATCCTGCCAGGGAACATCCGCCTCGAGGTGCTACAGGGAAAGTAACACTTTTAAGCTATTCACAAACTTGTTTTTTTTTTATCAGCAAATGCATAGCTCAGGCTGTGAAAATCTGCTCCGAGACCACTCTCCACCAAGTGTGGGAAATCCAGCAGACACACAGCCCCTCAGTGAGACACTGCACCTCCAGGGTTGGTTACATTACATTCCCTTCTTCCCAATTAATTTCTTTAAAATGGAGGGGAAAAAAAAAAAAAGAAGTCCCACCAGCCCCAGAGCTGGCATGCAGGCAATTTTCTTGCAGATGGTTAGTGATAAAATCACTGTATCTGTCCCAGGAATTTCTGAGGTTCCTTGGGAAGTAAAACAAAGCAGAAGAGCAACTGGTGATGGAGCCAGCAGGACTCTGCAGGGAAGACGCTGGCAGTGCTGGTCCTCTACCAGGACCCAAAATAACAAGGTCCTTGCATGGGTGTTGAGGACGCACTGGGTCCTGGTTAGCACAGCATCTGATGCCCCTATCAGTAAAATGATCAAGCTGGTTTTGGGCCATGTGGAACAAGACTGGGATTAAGCACCCGCTCCAAGGAGCGTGCACTGAGACCCATCCCAGAGCACCAGCCCAACCCAGCTCCTTCCAGAGGGATACACGTGAGAGACGGTGTCACCCCCCTCCCCTCCTGGAGCGATGACCCCTCGCTGCCAGCTCAGCCTCAGTAAATGTGCTGGGGACATCGGCTGCAGGAGCCTCTCGTGCGTCCCCAAAGAGAGTTTTACCGCAGAAGAGGTCCCAGAAATGAGAAATAGCCTGACAGCCGCTAGCACATCCATGAGACCAGCCTCAGCTCTAGCTGGCTCGGAAAGCGGAGCCCGGAGGGCACAAGGTCCCTCGGTGGCATAAAACTTCAGGTGCTGTCCCCATGCCCGCATCCCGGCCACATCTCCCCGCTGCTCTTCTCAGCCCCAGTTACAACATCTGGCACTGCCTCCTGCCTTCACCACTGCCCTTACCGGTACTATCGCAGTGGACTGGAGCCCCAGGGAGGCAAAGATCATAGAATCATAGAATAGTTTGGGTTGGAAGGGACCTCTAAAGGTCATCTAGTCCACCCCCCCTGCCGTGGGCAGGGACATCTGCAACTAGAGCAGGTTGCTCACAGCCCCGTCCAGCCTGACCTGGAACGTTTCCAGGGATGGGGCATCCACCACCTCTCTGGGCAACCTGGGCCAGTGTCTCACCACCCTCAGCGTAAACAATTTCTTCCTTCTGTCTAGTCTGAATCTACCCCCCTT